AATGGTACTTTTTTCCTTCCTCTCTATTAATGTCAACCTTTTATCAAGTTTATTGAATAATTTGCTTTAAAAGTATAGCCCAAGCAGGAAAAAAGAACTAACATTTATTCACTGATTGATCACATGAAGAGCAAAGTATGACTATAAGGATTGTTTTTAAGATGTTTTTATTAGTACATGTTTGCAGTGCATAGCGATTATATTCATCATACCTACATACTCTCTTACTCTGTGTAGTGTCTGTAACAGTTTAGGCTGTCAACTAATTTTCATTAAAAATTATTTTATTTTTCATTAAAAAATAACTTTTGCCAAGTACTAGCAGAATTTTCTGAGGATAGTCTTTAGGCAGCTTGTCTATAACAGAAATATCCTTTCTTGGTCATTTTTAATAAGGGGAAGAACTGCTTTGGTGAAAGTGGTAAATTTCCAGTACACACACACATGCACAAATGCACATCACCTATACTAGTATGGTACACTATGTGCTTCATATGTATATATAAAATATTTTAACTCTTCTTTCCTTCAATCATCTATGATAACAGAATACACAGAAATGCTCCAGAGTTTTCACTTTAGTACAGCAAACAAAATCATTGTAAGAAAAGGATCTCAAAGGTACAATGGCAGAGACAGAGTGACTTTTAATCATTTACAACGTGGGATCACTGAGCTTTGATATCAAAAATTTTTGAGCCAATAAAAGGCTACCAAAATTAGTTCTGAAAAACAAATTTTTAGTTTCTCCTGAGCATAGACTTCTACCATCTCCAACCTTACTGTGTTGCCCATAAGCTCTTTGGTGAAAATCTATGTGCAAACAAGGGCATTTTTCTGAAGATAATGCTGGCGTGTGCTCGCGTTTCCACAAATGGAACTTTCTGAGCATATTTCTGCATTACAGGTACAAGAAGACAACATAGGGGAACTTTCTAAAAATCTTTCCTCATGATACATGGTGGGGGAAAGACATTTCTGAAAAGTTAAGTGAAACATGTACATCTTTTAAGTGCATATCTCAGTCTAATGCTGATGTTATTCTTCACAGCAAATGCATAATAAATACTATCAAAATAAATATGAGAAACAGACAAATTCAGAAAAGATGGGCCTCAGAATACTGTATTAGAGAACTTTTAGAATATGATTCAGAAATCCTTATGCAGGTGAACCAATTATTTAAAATTATCTTTCCTAGTCCTCCTCCTGTTCTAGTATTATCTGGAGAAATTTTCCCTATTTTGGATGATGATAAAGTCCTAAGACACTAATCTTCATCACTGAGTCTTCACATCAGTTAACTAACATTTCTCAGAAACACAGAGCATTTTTCTATTTGAACACTTTCTTATTGTTAAATACTTTTCAAAACGATAGGCCAGCAATAGCTGTAACTGTCAAGGTACCTCTAATTGCCCTACTAATATTTCCCAAATCATACTCTTATGATATTCCAAAACATGCTCTTAATGTACCTCAAGTTGTACTCTAAGATATCTCAAATCACTTACTAACCATATTCCAGATTCCTACTCTTAATATATTCAGAATCATGCAAAGACTTTAAATCATAAACACAATATAAAAAAATAGAGTATCTGCAAGTCATTCTTAGACGACTGAACTATCAAGGACAAAGTTCTTAAACTCTACAGTGAAAACGCTAATAACAAATACGCTGTACCCTCTGAAAAACTCTTCAACCATAAATAATCTGAAAACAATAAAAATTGAGAGCCTTACTATTCTGGGCATTCCTATCTTGCTGTCTGTGTAAAGAAAATATTTTTTCTTAAAAGATTCTGGAAAAGGAATGAGGTTCATTCCAAATTCTAAACACCATTTAAGTTGATACCACTAACTACATATAAGAGTTTATAGGGAGATAATATTTATTTCAATAAATTAAATGCCTGCTGCACTGCTAGAAAATGTTTTAGGCATTATAAAGAGAAACAACGGCATCCACTGTGACTCTTATGGTTTACTCAAGAAGAGAACACATACATACGAATGACAGCATAGGAGAACATTCAATAAAAATAATATGAGGAATCAGAAAGGAAACAGTTGCAAGGCAGCCAAAAGAATAGTTGATTCTGGGAACTTAGGGAGCCTTTCTATAAAAAGTGTCACTTGAGCTATATGAATTAACTGGAGAAAATAGAGGTGATAAGTTCTGCTAGGTTTAAAAAAAAAAGTTCAAAAAGGTATGCAAGTGAAAAACGTAGCATATCTGTAGAACAAAGAATCACGTGAAGCTTAAGACATACAAAGGAGAGCAGCAAAGGAAAAGCCTACTTAATTTCAGAGAAGTAAAATCACACGTCCCAATCTCCATAATCAGTACTCTGAACTTCCTTAGCTTGGTATTGAATTCCTGTCCCTTGCAGTCTTTTATCAAAGGCAGTTCCACAAAATGAGAAGTGCTTTAGTCAGATTAGTCTGTGGGCGCAGAGTAAACGGAAAGACTCCCCAGAGAAGGAAAGCAGCCCCCAACAGAAAACAAACTCTGGGTTCTATCTGTACCACCACACACAAAAAAGCTGTAATAAGTGCCAAGCACTGATAGTACTTAATTTAATCTTAGCAAAATTTTCATAGATAAGAATACAGTCATTCAATAATAGGTAGTGGCCAAGGGGAAAAACGTGATTGATGGAAATTTACTCAGGTGTAGGGGCTTGGAAGGCAAACATGCTGCATGGTCAGGAGAGTGAGAAAAGTCTAGCATCCTGGCCAAGTAGAAATGTAGTAGGAAGGACTAATATAAACCTATAATTAGATATGAACAAAAGTTAGATATGATGACAACTTAGACATGAAAAAATGCAACAAAGAAAAGTCATAACTTAGGCTTGGGGGGGGGTGAAAAACATTAAATCATGAAAGAGAAAGAAGCTATTAGAAAGCCTGTATTAAAGAAGACACCCAAAAATCTCAGTAATGGGATGGCGGAAAAGTGGTGAGAACCATGATTCATTCTCCAGAGGACAGGGCAACCTAACGGTGGATAGAGCTTCCCAGGATTTAGGGCAGCATGCACAAAATCTAAGAAAATCGTGATAGGTAAGTCAGAAAGGAAAACAAGAATTCTGAAACTAAAGTCATTGAAATTTAGAGGGAAAAAATCCAGAGCTTGACTGATAGCAAACAGAAAAGATAGCAACATAGGCAGATTTCTTCCAAGAAGAAATATAGAGATGTATTGGTGATAAAGCCAGTATAACCTGTAAGCATCAGGGAAAACTAGGAAAATGCTTTTTTTTAAATTAACTAACTTGATAATTCAGGGAAAAGAAGAATAGTCATTATGACTCTCAATCATATACATTCTCATTATTATTTAAAACCAGAGTAATGGCCTTTTGTCAAGATTGAGATGACAGTCATAATCTCTAACTTCCAAGATGCTTTTGTCACATAGAGATCTAAGGCAAAGTGTGGTGCAGGGAGGGAGCTCACAAGTTTCAACTCCATAAATAAAGTTTAATGCATAATCTCTAAAACTACTTTCCATCTAAACAAATGGCAAAATGCAGTCCATGTAAATTTAATGAGCATTAATACATAACACCATGCGGTATTTGCTAAAACTGAACTCCTTTATTGTCACCTATATTCATAATTTGTAAAGTTATATCATTTTGAAAATCTTAAATTTAAGGTTGAGTTTTCTAAAAAAAAGATTATAGAAATGTAATACCCAAGTTATTGCTTATTCTTTTGTCTTCCATATGTCCATACACATCTATACTAAGCTCCACACAGCTTCCGTTTGTCAAACACACCCTTAGATCAGTGAGCAGCTGATGGGAAAAGGTGGAACAAGAATGAGTACAGAGATCATGTAACTTTCCACTTCAGAATGAAATGGAAAATTAATTTGGCTTTGTTCTGTTTTTCCAATTTTTATGCAGGTATCTAAAACTACCAGTCTCCCAAATTACATTTTCACTCCTTGCTAGCTTAAAGTTTGATTTTACACTTCTATTGACCTCATCTTCACTTTTAAAATAATCAAGTTGAATTGATGAAGTAAAAAAATATCTCAGGCAGATTTACCTGCTTTGGTAAGTAAGAGAATATCACATTTCAGATGTGGTAACTTCTATAAATCAAAGAATCAGATTAAAGCGGAAAGAACAATTTGGGCAGGGATGTTATTATTATGGTTTATACCTAAAATGTACACCAAAATCTCACGTGTGCAGAAGTGGGGCTTTAGGCAGGTGACTGGATCATGTGGGCACAACACTCATCAGTGGACTAATCCATCAAGGATTTCACAGCTATATTTGCCATTAGGAAGTAGGGTCTGGTTAAAGGAGGTGCATCACTGATAGGTGTGACCCGGAAGGGTATATTCTCATCCCAGGCTTGCTTTCTGTCTCTCTCTGCCTCTCTCTTTGCTTCCTGGCTGCTGCAGGTTGAGGAATTTTCATCTACCATGTTGTTTCTGCTTTGGAGACAGTTAGTCACGGACTGAACCCTCTGAAACGATGAGCAAAAATAAACCTCTCCTCCTTTAAAATACGTTTTAAGGTTTGAGTGCTGGTATTTTGTTCCAGTGATGGAAAAGGACTAATATAGAAAGAGAAGTATTTTTTTTCAGATCACTGACTTACAAAATCAAATCAGTAATTAGAAGTCCTCCAGGAAAGGCTTATTTTGAGTAACTTAGTAAATAAGAAATAACTTCAAATTTTAAGCGTCATTGGGGTTTGTGGAATTAATTCATTTAATAACTTAATAAATAAGAAATAACTTCAAATTTTAAGAGTCATTTGGGTTTGTGGAATTAATTCATTTAGCCTTGATGTTAAAACATTGATAAAAAAACTTTAATGCCCTTTTAGCATTTTAACTTTTAAAAACATATAACTGAATGGTGAATGAAGTATTTTGCCACATTAAAAAATATTTAGAGATCTAGTACAGAGGGTTTGAATGATAAAAGAAAGGAAGGTGCTAGTATTTTACTTTCTCCAACATACCTGCCGCGAACAGTAGTGGACTTGACGATATCCCCAGGTAAAACCACTGTAAGGTCAATGTCCTTATCAATTACGTTTTCTTTGTGTTCCATGATGAAAGCAGGAGATCCTACAGAATCATCAACTGCAGAGACATCCACGTATTTTGTGTCAGCTGGAGGAAGTGGTGCCTTGGCTTTTGTTTTTCTCCTAAAATAAAAATAAAATGCAGAAAATGAAATACATTTTAAAGTAATTTTATGAAACTCCCAAATACATATATGATTTCTACATTCCCAAAAAGCACGATATTAACTTTGTTTTTCCCTTTTCCAATCCTCATTTTGTTTTGTGTTTTGAGCACTACGTCTATATTACTTGGTAATAAAAAAAAAGGATAAGGAGATTTCAGGTTTGTCTCCATTCAGTTTAACAAATGTGTTTGCTACTATATATTAAATGAAGAATATAATTTATTGTCTTTAAGAAAAATTATAAAAATCCGTAAAGTCTCTGGATGGAGATCAGTATTTTACTTTCTTACCTCATCACACCTACTGCTTTTGGTTCTTTTCTTCTATTTGTTTCCAATCTAGTATGTTCCACCTTCCACCTCTATCCATAGAAGTCATACCTGCCCTTAAAGTCTAGCACATACAACTGATTCTATAAATCTTCTGTTACAGTTCTGATCAAAAATTCCCCCAAAGTGTTCACCTGTCTAGAGGTGGGACTTTTAGAACGTAACTGGATCATTAGGGCACTGGCTTCATCATGGATTAGTTCATTCATAGTTTTAACAGGTTCTTCAGGAGATGGGGCCGACGTGAATGAAGCAGGTCACTGAAGGTGTGGTTTTAAAGATTATGTTATTTTCCCACCCATGCTCTTCTACCTCCTCCCCTCTGTTTCCATGCTGCCACGAGGTGAATAGCTTCCCTGTGCCGTGTCCTTTCACTGTCATGTTTCTCCCTTGAAGTCAGCTTACCGTGAACTGAAACCTCTGAAACCATGAGCCAAAATAAAATGGCTCCTCCTTGAAAGTTTGTATGTCAGACACTTCGTCCCAGCAACAAGAAGCTGAATAATATGTGTACCATTTTTTATTTTCTCCTTGGGTACCAGTTTCTTTTATTTTTTGTGGTACTGTCGGTAGAACCTAGGTGCACAGTACTCCTCCGCTACACTCCCAGAGTGTTTTTTCCCCTCATTTTGAGACAGGTCCCGTTAAGTCACCCAGGCTGGGATCAAACTTGCAACCCTCTCACTTCTGCAGTCCACAAGTTTGGATGATAGGTGTGTGCAACCACACCCAGAGGGTACCAATTTAAACTCTCTACTATATTTCTAACTCCATAAACGAAAAAAAGTACCTATAGATAGCTCTACTTACCAGTGTACCTAACAGTGAACAATGAACAATGAACTGTGGTTGGCTATTTGATAAATTATACAGCTGTTTCAATGAAAAATCTTACAAATAATTACACTAAGAAATATTTTTCAGTGTCACTTACTAAGCAAACCCATTAACTAATTTATAACAGTAACAGCAAATACCCTGGAAAAAAAAAAAACTTACAAGGCCAATTCAATGATGCAAAGGTGAAAGAAATGAAATATGAAAAAAATAAGTATGGGTAATGACATGTTTGTTTGTATTTAAACACTAAAAATTAAAACTTTGGAAAATGTTACTTTAATGAAAGGCTAACTGCTTCAGGAAAAATGAATCCTTTCCTTTCCTCTTAGAAATATAGATTTTAATTTCTCTCTATTTCTTAGGGAAAAAAATAACCAAACAAGATAAAATGTGTAACATCCACATATTCAGTATTTTCAAAGTTTATGATCTCACAAATCTAAGCACTCCTGGGCACTACTCATCTTGAAGAGACAGATGCAGTACATTTTAAATTAACATATTAAGGTAAGACTTTAATTTTAGTAATATAATTAGATATACTGGGTTGTAGAAAAGTCTTCTACAATTGCAAAAAAAAAAATTTTAATGCTGTTATAATGATAACATAAGAAGTTTATAAAAATCTATATGAAGAAAAGTGTTACCCAATTTCAAATTTTAGTTTTTCATCTTCAGAAATTACTCACTCATGTATAATAAATATTTATCCTGTAACAATTACTGCAGCAGACTATGCTTACACACTGGAGACATAAAGGTGAGCGACTCAGTTCTTAACACCTACAATGTTTGTAGGCAATGGAATGACAGACATGTACAAAATTACAATAAAGTTTGATGACTGATCTAAGACAGAAATAAAAATGATATAGATGAGAACCTAACTCTTTCAGGAATTCCACAAATAATTTACATATGTTAAGTATGAACTGGGTTTGGAGGAGTCAACTAAAATACACAGGAAAAGACTAGAAATAATTGATAGTTCAGGTAGAGGAAAGAAAATGAAGTCATCTAAGAAAATGCTACTTTTAGAGTTGAGCAGTTTAGTAAAATTCTACAGAGAAGTCACAGAAGACGAGAAATCAGTGATCAACAGAAAATCTTTTATAACTGAGAATTCAGTGAAGTCCCTTGGTACCAAGTTAATACGCTAAGAAGTCCATAGCATACACACACATAAGCAAAAACCAATCCAGAAATATGAGGAAAGAAAAATTCACTGTGTAACAGTAACAGAAAGGAATCTGAAAAGATTCTCCAAGTCTTCTCATCTCAGCAAATCAGTTTTTTTTCAGTTACCTGAGGCTAAAAGTCTTCTTTCTCACCTATGCTTCTCCAGTCCATAAAAATCTATCAGGTCAACAGTATCCACCTCAAATATTTCCTTGTGTTTTTCTTCCCCGTCTCCTCATCCTTCCCATCATTATGTATACTGTCTGTTATTTTTCAAGATCCAGATCACAGTGAAATTCTTGCAGATGTCTCCCCTGTTTGACGAACATCACAATAAACTCACAAGTGTGATGCTCTGTGTGTGTGTTATTGTCTTAAGCCCTAAAATACTTTGGGTCTGTACTGAAAACCACCTATAATGGTTGATACATTGTGTCAACATGAAAAGTTTAGAAGTCTAAGTGACTCAGCAGGGGTCCAGGGTCCTCACTTTGTAAACATCCTCATCCTGTGCAAGAGGAGGGCACAGGGATGGCTTGAGTGCTACACACCTGCCCCAGGGTGGGTAGCCTGCGTATACTAGGGAGTGTACACTAGGGAGGAAAAGAGGCTTGTTCTCCTGCCCCCTTTATACTCTTCTTGCTTTTATGTCTTCTACCACCTTAAACTGCAGCCCCTCAGCCGTGCCACCCTGCCCTTGGAGCCAGCTCATTAGACTGAAACCTCCATGAACTGCGAGCTAAATAAACCTCCCATTCTTAATTTGTCAGGTATTTTGTTTCCACAACGAGAGAAAAGTAACCAAGACTCCATCTCTAATTATTAGCAATAAGCTTATTAAACAAAGAAAAGCAGAACGAAGCACTGGTTGCTTCGTTATTTACACAGAACTTCTATTGAGAACACCTTACAGTCCTGTTATTATTTTAATTAATAAAACACTTTCATGCCCTTGGTACTGAAAACCCCAAAGTACCTGTGAGTGAGACCAAGATCCTTTCATAATGAACATTCCAATGGGGAAGATGCAAAAGATACAAAGCAAAAATGAAGTATCATAAAATAGATGAGTAACCTTGACAATTCTGAAGGACAGAGAGCCAGCCAAATCTATCTGAGTGGGAATGAGAATGCAGGGATCAAGGTAAGATTTACAGAAGCGAGAAAAGTGATTCAGTTCTTAAAGAAAACTACAGCATAGACAGGCAAAGTCTAAAGGGTCACTTACATGTTGGTGCCCAATTGCGATCCAGTCACATCAAACTTAGGAATGTGCTTACCTAGTTTATTTACAACACAATCCAATCTAGTGAAAACAATAGCAAGTGGAGGTCTGGATTTGACCTGAATCCAAAAAAGCTTTAAGATTTAGCTAATGTGACCTCATATTCATCAGCAATTTTTTTAAAAACTACTTTGTTTTTCAAAGAAGGAAAAGCAAAAGGTATATATATGTGTGTGTGTGTGTGTACACACACACATACACGAAAGATATTAAAAGTTACTAATTTCTCTCAGTTCACTGAAAAGATAGGTATGTGCTAATATTTTTTTAACAATTAAATGCTGATATTTTGTATTCTGAATAATTTAAAAATAACAATATGGAATATATTAACCATTGTTACCCTCCTATCATATTGTTTTGGAATTTTGCTTTTTGGGGTTTTGTTTCTTTTTCTTCAAAATAAAAATTTAAAAGTACCACTTTCTGATTGTAAAAAATACTTTGTTTTTTAACCTATTCACATCTTCTAGTGTTCCTAACTTTTTTGGTTAGATGCTCTGAAGCTGTAAAAAAAATTAAACGTCACCCAAACCTAAGACTATACTGAAGATAATCAAATCTAGATGGATTATCTAAATATAAATGTAAGGAATCTACCTCATATTTAAATTTAAATGTAGAAAATTTGGGTAATGTGGGAGGCACCATCATTAGTCAATAATGATTATATTACCAATAGGAGCTATAAATATTAGTTATGATTAATATTTTAAAATTAGCATTACTACCAAAGGCCCCTCACTTCTTTTAAGCAGGAATAGTTATATCACTTCCCCTACCAAGGTGTTTTTTTTTTTTTTTTTTCTTTTTGAGACAGGGTCTCTCTACGCAGTTCAGGCTTGCTTTGAGCTCACTTTGTAGCTCAGGCTAGTCTCAAACGCACATCGATCCTCCTGCCTGAGCGTCCCAAGTGCTGCGATTACAGGCATGCACACCATGCCCGGCTCAACCACCAAGGTATTATTGGGCAAGCTTTTCCTCAGCAGTGGTCAAGTGTGACTATCAGTATCTGTCATGTAGAGACTGCTAATATTTGGAGAGGAAGTTACACGAAAAAGGCATTTGACACAGTAATTTTCACCAAGTCGAAGCTAAACATATGTAGCAAGTGTTGCTTAAGCAAATTAATGCTTTATTTATATTAAAATTATATTATGCTTGATTTTCACAATAAGTTAAGATATCACCTCACATATACAATATATTTAAAAATAGCAAAACCTCATTTTAATTCATCCGTTAATAGACATCTACTTTTATTACTGACTTTTTTTATCATTTTAACTTACATACAATTTCAAACTCTTGTGTCTATTATGT